ATCTGTTAGTAATTGATAATATTGACATAAAAGAGAAGACATTTATGTATGGAAATATTTATAATGTTGCACAAAAAACTTCTCATGCTACTCTTTGAATCGTATTTCAGTTTAAACTTCTCCCATGCTTGCAACCGACTTCAGTCTTCTTTTCTGAACAATTAGATCAAGTTACAATTGGATTATCAACGGTTACGAAAAAGCTAAACAAAAATTATAATAAAATTTTTGAAGAATTACTTTTAAAAAAAATAAATAATTTTGACATTAACGATATTCATCTAAAAGTTATTGAAAATATTCAAATCAGATGCAAATTAAATAATAATTCTAGATACTGGACCAGCACCAAATTCTAATAAAAATATATATAAAACATGTGATATGTTTTTGAATGATGTAGCAAACACAGAAGCTACCACGATCAATATTGTATGCGATGAAGCCATTTTTCAAAGACTTAAAAATTATGAAAATGAAAACCTCACCACTAATATTATCCTTGGACAATAGCATACTTCAAAAGACATGTGCCAGGTTTTAATTACTGCTTTTTCTGGATATGAGATTTTTAACATAGCAGTACTACTTGGCATTTGATATTTGAAAAATCTAGAAAAAGGTTCAGATTATCATGCAACTTGTACAGTTCTTGAATTAATCTGGGCAACAGTTGGAATTGCAATTCATCATTATCTAAAAAAATACCAAAATGACTATTAATGATATTGAAAATAGTTCTAACAATATTTTAAAAGTTTGGTTTAATTATTACCAGTGGGCTGGTTATTGGAAAGCGCATAAAATTAGTATTTGAAGAGGAGATTTTGATTTGCAAATTGCAAGTCTTGCCGCATTTGCACCTCTTTTTCCAGTTACTGGTAAGTACAGATATGCAGAATCAGTTGCTATTTTTTTAGAAAGATTGCATAAAAATCCGCAACTTCAAAAAAGATTAAATCAAGTACTATCTGTTAATATTACACACAAAGAACATTATCTAGCATATGATGAAGCATTAGAAATATATGGTGTCAAGTTTGTTAAACAAGTAATGACAAGAAAGTCTGGAGATGATAAAAACTTACATCGGCAAATAAAAGGAAGTCAAGATGAAATCGAACGATTATTAGTTCTTGATGAATTTCTTGATACTGTAATAAATATTGATAACTATCCTGCACCAGATCGATGTAAGCAATTGTGAATTTTAAGTAATCAAATATATACTACATTTCAAAATCCAGACCCCAATAGTTATTCACTTTTTGAATATACAACACAAAATACTTCAAAAGGATACTCCAATATAGAAACTTGTTATCAACACGGAATAGAATGTATGCAAGATCTACTTGCACAAGAAGTCTATTTAACTAAAAAGAAAAATACAAAGGGAAGAGCAAGTAAAAATTTAGTTAAAGATACTGTAGCAAATTTTAAACAGCAACAAAAAATTCAAAAGAGAAAATGAAAAAGTAATGATCAATCTGAAGATGATGAATTTACAAGTGAATAATTGTTTAACTTATATATAATTGAAAAATTTGACTTTATATATTTTTATTCCACCCTTTTGTAATAAAAGAATTTTATATTAAATTTTAATAAACATCATTTATAAAAAATATTGAGCAATAAAGTATACTTACTAACTTTGTTTAATCTTGAGATTCAGAATTAGAGATCGGCAAATATCTATACCAGGCACTAGTATCTTGTGCTATAATTCGATATTAATTTAGAAGTTAAATCTTTGAAATAGAAATATTTGATAGTTTGAAAAAGATACATCTTTCATTTCTAACTATATAGCATAATAGAAATTTTGAGTTATGCAATTCGGTTTCTATACTATAAATTATTTAACTAATATCATCGATCTATCTTTAGAGTACATATCATGTCTAAGAAAATATTCAATGCACAAATTAGCAGTTGTTGAAAAAAAGATCCTAAAGCGTTTTGAAGAATATAAAAGTTCTACTATATTACTCACGAAGGTTATTAATAATTAAGATTATTGAACTTCAAAATGAATTTGAGATTGGTGTTATAACATAATAGAGAAGATAAAAATGTTTTAAAAAACTTTTTATAAAGACTAAAAAGATCGAACTAAGTACAAAAACGAACTATACCTTAATTAATAAGTGATCTACTTATATAAAATAGCTTTTTCTAATTTTTCTCCACTATGCTTATAATGTACCCACATTTCAAAGATATATTTTGTCAAAAGCTCTTGCTCTAATGCACCTAGTGAATCACTTTTTATGTGAAAAATTTGTTAGCTTGAAAAGAATTTTGCAATGATATACAAAATAATTGCCTATATTTGAAGACATAGTATTTTACAAAAAGAAGTTTATTTTTTATATTTTTTATGTCGTTTGATTCATTGAAACCTCAGGAATATTTTCATGTTAAAGTATAGTATACTTTGAATAAGATTTTATTAGAAATTTTAAAAATGTAATTTTATCGGTTTGTGTAATTTATGAAAATCATATGATAAAAATTTTGATGTGACAAATCATGTGACTGTTATTTTAAATTCTACATATTTGTAATTTTATATTTTTTTTATTTATAATTTTATATTTTATAGAATAGCAAAGAAATTTGTTATAGAGAACAAAATAATAAAATATAGTAGAAATCTACACAAGATTCTTTGCCTAAAACCGCTACAATTTTATCACTAATTTTGTATTCTAATGCAACCAACTGTGATAAATTAGGAAAATGCCAACTTCATTCAATATATTTGTTACTGGGTAATATACCGACTTGGAGAAGAAACAAGCAAGATATTAAGCAACTTTTAGGTTACTTATCTATAATAAAAACATCTTTAAGCTTAGACAAAACTATAATTAGACATAGACTCAAACACATCTCTCTCGCACTAATCCTTTTTACTAAAATTAGATTTAAAGAAAATCATCAAATTTCACAAAAACAAGTTAACAAACTACCAAAACTTTTCTAAGAAAAAAGAAACCTTTGCATAAAACAAAGAAACTCTTATAGAAGCAGACAGTATACTTTATTAATAAATTT